AATTGCAAGAGCAAAGTGGCGTAGGAGCAGTCCTCATATTTACAACCCTTGCAGCGTCCGCATGGTCCCGTGATCAGAATTGGGGCTTCTGGCAACCGGCTCCATATTTATGACGGTCGCAGTGTCCCGGGGTCACGTGATCCCCTTTGGTGACTTTTTTGACAGGCAAAATCAATGGGGAAGCCAGATTCACTGAACAGCTGTGTTATTAACCTAAGAAGTGTTGTGATTCACGTTAACAACGGTGACAAGCAAAGTCGTAAAACGAGATAAACCCCACTTAACAACTTAACAGCGTTGGGCTCAATTGTGGTGGTAAATCAAGGATTGCCTGTATAAAGTATTGCCTTTATAAATCATTTTTTAAGGACAATGCATCTCCCGGTCACCCTTATTAGCCAGACCAGATGGGAAATGTAATCAGATTTGCTAATTCTAATTTATTGTACAGCTAAGTTAAAAGTTGCAAATCTGAACGTGCAATTCCCCTCTTCTCTTTTTCATCCTAGTCCCTTCTGAGCCCCTTGCCCCTCCTATTATCCAGCTGAGGACTGTTCTGTCTCTTAGCTGGTTGTTCCCTCATCAACATCTCCTCCCCCATCCTTCCAATGTTTCCCCCACATATTATTACACTCCCCTTCCCGAAGACAAATATTATATAGCAGATATGACGTTAGGTTCACAAGGTAGATATGCAAATACAATGGAAAAAGCAGGCACATGAGCTATGTGCATTCTTATGGAAAGATAACCAAAAGAAAAATAGAATATAGAATAACAAGAGTTGGAAGGGACCTTGGAGATCTTCTAGTCCAACCCCCTGCTCAGGGAGGAAACCCTATACCAGGGGTAGGCAACCTTGGCTCTTTTATGACTCGTGGACTTCAACTCCCAGAATTCCTGAGCCAGCACGGAGGAACCATGGCCCACTTGATGACTGGTGGACTTCAACTCCCAGAATTCCTGAGCCAGCCATGCTGAGGGGAGAGGGGGAGGTTTCCAAGCTGAGCCATGCTGGCTCAGGAATTCTGGGAGTTGAAGTCCACGAGTCATAAAAGAGCCAAGGTTGCCTACCCCTGCCCTATACCATTTCAGGCAAATAGAATTGTCCAACGAATGAAAGCAAACGTCCAACTTCACCTTCAGAGTTTAAAAGCCTGAGTTAATTGGAAAAAGGTTCTCTAAATGCAAGCCTCAGCAAAGAAATCCTGTTTGTCATGTTGACCAAACCCCATCAACAGACCACATGGAGAACTAAGATCAACAAATCAACCTAAACTAAAATCTAAGTTTAAATTTACATTTGAGAAACTCAGTCACACTAGCAAGAATTGTCCAGGAAGAAGAACTAGAAGACCTCCCTGGTCCGTTTCGGCCTTAGGATTCTATGACATACATGTAGACATCTCTTTGGCTTTTGCTGTCATTTGCACATGTTCTTTTGCAAGCTGCATGTAAGAATGCCTGTGACTCTCCCTCGTGAATTTTTAACTTCTCCATAGGAAAGAATTTGAAAAAGCAGCAACTTATCTAGCAGGAGAGTAGCTGTAAACAGGTTTCTATCTACACAGGAAGAGCAGAGTCCATTTTGACTTTTCTGTTCTGAACCATAACCTTAGCAATTGCCAGGACCACCCGTCAGTTCTGAGCAGTAAGAAAAAACTTCTTGTCGTGGAAATGTAGAATATGCAATAGGATGAATTCATGAAAACCTCAAAGAATGTGGCTATTTCAATGAGTCTGTTCCTTAGAACATAGAACAAAGAACTTCGGAGTTGGAAGTGACCTTGGGGGTCTTCTAGTCCAGGAGACCCTATACCATTTCAGAGAACTGTCTGTCCTTAAAAAAACTCCAGTGATAGAGCACCCATGAGTTTTGAAGGCAAGTTGTTCCACTGTTTGATTGTTCTCACTGTCAGGAAATTTCTCCATAATTCTAGGTTGCTTCTCTCCTTGGTTAGTTTCCATTCATTGCTTCTAGTTTTGCCTTCTAGTGCTTTGGAAATAACTTGATCCCCCCTCTTCTTTGTGGCTGTTCCACAAATATTGGAACAGTACTATCATGTGACCCTTAGTCCTTCTTTTTATTGGAGTAGACATACCCACTTAGTGCAACTATTCATCATATGTTTGAGCCTCCAGCCTCCTAATCCAGGGGTCTTCAAACTTGACCCCTTTATGACTTGTGGACTACAAACACTGCACTACTTATTTAGAATACTCAATACAGAAAAATGGAGTTGGAAGGGACCTTGAGGGTCTTCTAGTCTACTCCCTGCTCAACCTCTTTTTTTTTTTTTTTTTGCATCGTGGTGACAAAACTGGATGCAATATTCCAAATGTGGTCTTACCGGTGCAGTCCAAAGCGATACCAACTCTTCACATGTTCTTTGAACACATGTTGCATTAGAAAGAAGGCTTGAAGAGAGAGAGAGAGTCAGAATCCTAAAATGGTACAACGTTTTGAAATTTCAGTGTTTCCCACGTACAGCTACAATCTGAATGGCCGAGGATAACAGTTTACTGATCATTCTCTTCCTGACTATTGTGAAGGACATCTAGTTAAACACTGGCCCTTAATTCTGAAATGACGTTTCCATGTTCACGTCAGCATACGCAAAATGTTCTTGGATCAGCCCCTTCGGCAATATGCAAACAACCACCCTAGATTAAATGTCCAGCAAGTCACTAAGATCTCCTGATGGGAGCAATAGAATTCCAAAGACTCGAGAAGGGATTATTTCCCATCATCTCTTTGTATCCAACCTTTCTACTGGAAGCAACCAAGCACTGAACTTTGGACATCCCTATGCAAATTCCAGGCTCGGGTGCTGAGGTGTAGCTCACCTTGGCCTACCAACAACTTCCTTTGTAATCTGGGGGTCTTGCAGAACAAGAAGAGCACAAGTGTTGGAGAAAGAGTGCAATTCAGACTAACAAATGTTTAATCCAGCATTCACAGCCCTCTTTAAGCGGTTTATAGAGTCAGCATATTGCCCCCAACAATCTGGGTCCTCATTTTACTGACCTCGGAAGGAGGGAAGGCTGAATCAATCTTGAGCCAGTCAGGATCGAATGCCTGGCAGTCAACAGAATTAGCCTGCAATACTGCATTCAATTGAGGCCTTTGAACTCTGGTGCTGGAGAAGACTCCTGCGAGTCCCCTGGACTGCAAGGCAATCCAACCGGTCAGTCCTAGAAGAGATCAACCCCAACTGCTCTTTAGAAGGCCAGATCCTGAAGTTGAAACTCAAGGACTTTGGCCACCTAATGAGAAGGAAGGACTCACTGGAGAAGAGCCTGATGCTGGGAAAGATGGAGGGCAATAGAAGAAGGGGACGACAGAGAATGAGGTGGCTGGATGGAGTCACTGAAGCAGCAGGCATGAGCTTCAATGGACTCCAGAAGATGGTAGAGAACAGGAAGACCTGGAGGAACGTTGTCCATGGGGTCGTGATGGGTCGGACATGACTTCGCAATTAACAACAACAATACTGCATTCTAAACCCCATAGAACTCACCAGGGCTCTATTCCCCAGATTCTGCAACTATCGTGCAGGGCAAGGATATATGACCCACGGAAAAGGTGCAGCAGCAGCAGCAGCATCTTTGATGATGCCAAATGGCGGCCAAAGTATGATGAGATCATCACGCCGTATTCAAATGCAGGTTGACTTATTCAGGTTTATAAGTTACAATGATGAGGATGACATGCCTGCTTTGTCATTTAACACCTGCTGGTCCCCTGCAGTTACCATGGAAGCAGCTGCTTTAATGAGTTACAAAATCTGTTGCATGAGCATGCCAGCCTGCTCGGAGACACTTTCTATTTTTGTATCCAAATGCCACACTGCCCTAATGTGATACCTTTCTTAAGTACACATTAAGAAAAGCAAAGATGCCCACCACAGCTCCAGATGGCATTCCAGAATTTAGCATTAATTCCAAATAACGATTTTTGAAGTGTTGACATAGTGCCTGGAAAAGCTGCTAACTTTTGTTCTAATCTTTTTTGAGAGTTTGGGGAGGCCAGAACAGCATCTTTAAATGCTCCCAACAAAGATGATTAGCACAGAAGACCCCAATCTTTTGAGCACCAGGGACCGGAACCGTGGAGAGAGGTTTTCCTGTGAACTGGAGAGGGCGTGATTTCCCGTGCTGCCTGAATCCCATGGATGGAGCTTCGCTTGTTTGCACTGCCTGGTTTCTGGCATGCCACGGCCTGGTGCCGGATTAGAGGACTGGAGGATAAAACATACGATAAACAATAGAGGTAACTAGATATGTCTAGTTTAACAAAAAAAAAGAGGACACGATATCAGTCTTCCAATATTTATGGGCTGTCATAGAGAAGAAGGGGTCAACCTAGTCTCCAAAGCACCTGAGGGCAGGACAAGAAGTGACGGGTGGAAGATCATTAAAGAGGGATCCAACCCAGAATTAAAGAGAAATTTCCTGACAATGGGAACTATTAATCATTGGAACAGCTTTGCCTCCAGAAGTTGTGGGTGCTCCATCATTGGAGGTTTTTAAGAAGAGATTGGACAGCCATTTGTCCTGAATGCTATAAGTCTTCTGCTTGGGCAGGGAATTGGACTAGAAAACCGACTATGTCTCTTCCAACTCTATTATTCTGTATTCCTTTTGTTTTTCATGCTTATCAAACGAGCTGGCAGTTGTGCCTTTAATGATTCACTTTGTACATTCTCCCATCCTTCCTGAACTCTTTTCTGTTTTTGAATTTGGTCTGTTGAGGGTATTATCAATATACCTCCCTGATGTTTATCCAGCTCCACTGATCATTGGTCAGTAGCATTTAACAGGCCAAAGGTCTGTGATTATGAGGAACAGGGAAAAGACTTTGCCTAATCAAGATCTACTAATAGTTACTAGTCAGGTTGTCTGGGTCAGCAGCTAATGTGTGGTTCTGAGCTTCACTTCATCCCAAATTGAGCAATCCTAGTGCAAATTCACAAGACTGGCTGCCAAGTCGCATAAGAATGGAGAACGCTACGGATCATGTGAAACAGAAGCCGGCCTTCACACTGAAGAGATTTCATATGTCTGAAGATTATGGTTTCCTTCTTCCCAATCCATTGGTAGGTACAGCCTTTTGCTAAACACTAAAGGTGTGGGAGAAAGGGGAAAGTGTTCAGAATGCAGGGAGCAAGGAAGGAGATTGAAGACTCCTTCTGATCTTTCCCAAAGTTGTCTACTTCTGCTGATGGATTTGGGCTTGCAGAGAGGCAGGATGATCTGGGATCATTTTGGCATTTGGCATTTAAAGATTTAAGAGGCTAAATAAGTTTTCAGATAAGGAGAAGGAGGATTGTCTTTGTTCCAGTTGGTTTCCTTACGTAGTTGTAAGAATGAGAATGGCGAATGGGGTCAGGTACCAACAAATGCGAGGATCATTTTTCCCCCCCTAATCTAAGAAAGACAGATAATAAATCGGACCTGGATATCTCCGAGACCGCCTTCTGCCGCAGATTACCTCCCATCAGCCGGTACGCTCCCACAGAGTGGGTCTCCTCAGGGTGCCGTCAGCCAGACAGTGCCGGCTGGCGGCCTCCAGGGGGAGGGCCTTCTCTGTGGGAGCCCCCACCCTCTGGAACGAACTACCCCCAGAGATCCGGGTGATCCCAGATCTCCCCTCCTTCCGCCGCGCCCTAAAGACATGGCTCTTCCAACAAGCGGGATTGGCCTAGGGAATTTTTAGTGGGGTTTTTAAGAGAAATTTTAATTTATCCAGGCCATAGTAAATATTTCTTTTTAATTTGGTTTTAAATTAGGTATTTATTGTAGTATCTGTTTTTATAAGGCTGTTAGCCGCCCTGAGTCCGGTAAGGAGAAGGGCGGGATAAAAAAATCGAATAAATAAATAAATAAATAAAATAAATAAATAAATAAAATAAATGGCTTTTGTCTCTGAATGAGTAGAGATCTGAAACTATCTTCCCATTGTGGTAGTGATCTGTGGAATGACATAAGATAAGCTTTGTTGGGAGTAGAAAGCTTCTTTCTCATGAGTCATTTTTTTTTCACTGATAGCAATCAAATGCACAACCTTTTGGGCCAAAAGATCTAAGGAGAGAGAATGATTGAAGCTAGGAGGAAAAGAAAATTATAATTGATATAATGTAAATGAGAATTAAGTCTGTTTTGCATAGCAGTACGTCGCCCAGAGTAGCTTGTTAGGTGGGATGGGTGGCTAAATGAATAAATAAAATCAGTTACCTTAATGTCAGTTAGGAATATATTCCTTTTCCACATGCTGAAAAAAAAATCTTTCCGTGCCTTCCCAAACTCTTTGATGGGTCCTTATGCGATACCTCCTTCAAAAATTACTACCCAGCTGTAATGTTTAACCTCACAGTTAAACATTATTAAATTACATAAAGAGTCACTTTATTAACCGTGTTTCATTCATTTCATCTGAAATAACCTTTGTCTTGTCTGCTTGTGTACTCTAGTCCTAGCCCAAATTCCCCAAACTCTGCACTTTTGCTTAGTGATCCAGTTTTAGTTCTAGGGAAAAGTTGTGCTGTGCCTTCTGGGTTTTTTTTTAGGGGCAGAAGGACTGAGGCTAGTAGCTTGGCCAGTAGCTTCTGCAAGGGAAGCTCAGAATTTGGAAGATTAAGGATGTGGTTGCAGCTTGTCCTGCTCCCATTAGAAGGAGTTATATGATGCCATCTTTTTTGCTCTCTTCTCCTGTGGGCACCCCTAAGTTCTGCTTCTATAATAGCATGTCCCTAATGCAGGGGTGTCAAACTCAATTTCACTGAGGGCTGCATCAGCATTGCGGTTGCGCTCAGGGGACTGGGTGGGTGTGGCCAGGGTGGGTGCGGCCTACTGGGTGGGCGTGGATGGAGTGGGTGTGGCCTACTGGGTGGGCATGGCCAACTCTACATCGTTCACGTCAAGGGTGCCTGTGGGGGCCTGGGCAGGAGTGGGACAGATCTGGGGGTCTCTGGCAGAAGAGGGTGCGACCGGGGCAAGCGCCAAGGCATGGTCCATTTCTTCATTCCTCACAAAGGGTGACACCTCCCCAGCATGCACCCAGGGGGCGGGGCAGACGTGGCAGGGGCTGGTTCCTCGTTGTTTCTGGACGGCCTTGTGGAGCTAAGATTGAATGCGTTTCAGCATAGATGGCCACCACAAAATTGTACATTGGCTCCTGGCTGGCCTGGGCCAGAGCCAAGGCAGCGGGGGCCGTTCCCTCACTGTTTCCAGGATGGCTTCGCGGGCCACATGGAACCACTTCGCGGGCTGCATCCGGCCCCCGGGCCTTGGGTTTGACATGTCTGCCCTAATGGATGGGTGCGTGGTCCAGCAAAGCACCAGTGGAGGATTGTGACAACTGGTTCAGAACATCTGAAATCTTCTTAGTTAGAGCTCAGCACTAACGGCCTTTTAAAATGAACCGGATCGGTGGGTAGAGAAATCGAGTGGATGATTCCTGGTAAGACCACATCTGGAGCACCGTATCTTAACAAAGTAAGAGTTGAAAGGGACCTTGGAGGTCTTCTTGGCTAACCCTCTGCTCAAGCAGGAGACCCTATACCATTTTGGACAAATGGCTGTCCAATCTCTCCTTAAAAACCTCCAGTGATGGAGCACCCACAACTTCTGGAGGCAAGTTGTTCCACTGATCAATTATTCTAAATGTCAGGAAATTTCTCCTTAGTTCAAGGTCGGATCTCTCCTTGAGCAATTTCCATCTATTGCTTCTTGTCTTGCCTTCTGGTGCTTTGGAGAACAGGTTGATCCTCTCTTCTTTGTGGCAGCCTCTCAAATATTGGTATACTGCTATCATGTCACTCCTAGTCCTTCTTTTCTAGACTATCCATACCCAATTCCTGCAATTGTTCTTCACATGTTTTAGCCTCCAGTCCCTTAATCATCTTTTTTGCTCTTCTCTGCATCTCACATTTTGGATCAGAAGAAAAGACAGATGTGAGATTAAGCAATGATCAGGAAAAAAATCAAAGCAATGGCAACCACCCCCAGAATATAAAACTGGACAAAGAGAATCCACAAAGCAGAGACTTCCTAACCGTTGCTAACTTTGCTACACCCTTTTCTATTGGATTGTCTCCAGCAAAGAGCTATATTACAAGAACCTTGCTTCCCATCACTTGTCAGAATATAATTAAAATAGCAGGTTCTTTTGTCTCCAGGGAAAATTCTCAGTAGATCAGAATGTAATAAATGCTGATGCAGCTAAGAAGCTGGAAGAACTGAGAATTTCTGGTCATGTGCTTTTGTTACAATAAAAATTTACCCCATTTTTTTTTTTGCAGACATTTCTGGATCACAGAACAGATGCTTTATCCAGTCAGTTATGAGGATTAGATGGTTTAGAATTGGCCACAGCACTGAAGCAGCCATTTTGTGAAGAGTTAAGCCCTCCACTTGATAATGTGGTTTGTCAGCCTGTTTGGGGGGTTCTCAAAGTTCTAGTTTCCTCATTGACCCCAAAGGTGACTTGTTTCCCAAGTAAGGAAGTAAACAGATCAAATGCTTCTTGATCTTTCTGATTAGTTAAAATCTACAGAACTGATTGCAATCCATCAGACATAAATTGGAGGCTGACAGTTGCTTCAGACAGATAATAAAATGTGGAGATCAGCCATGTCCTTCATGGATAATCACATCTAGTGGTTGGCTAGCCTTTAATGGGAGGACCTTGACTTTGCTGAACTTCACCTGCCAATGATGCTGGTCTTTCTAGTTGGTGCAGTTGGGAATTAGGAACTATTGGAGAACTCCAAGTTCTCAATTTCTCCACTTTGAAGATGATAATTCCTTTTAGATGGTTTTTTTTTTCAATAAAAGGGTGGAAAAACTGCACTGAACTATCCTTCTCAGCATCCTAAGCCAATGTTCACAGTAGGCATTGTAATCTCACAATGGCTGCAGGATCATGGGTTCTCCATATCCAACCTAACCTGTACAATACTTATGTACATTTAATTCATATCATCACACATTTCTTTTTTGGTCTCTCTTTTTAAGAAAGAACTTCCTCCTTTCTATAATCCATGGATGGAGATTGCTCACAGGTTGGTTTACTTGATTGAGAGCCATCAGCTTCGTTCCCAGGTCAACAAGGTACTGAAATTCATTTTTATGCATGATTTTTAGTCATAGAGATCTCACGTTGTGTTTCTTGATGCTCTAGGAAGCCAGTCTTGCTTCCTTATGAGTGAATGCTAGCTTTCCTATTAGCCTTGTTGTTTAGTTGGGATCTTCACTTTTACTTTTTAAAACACCCTGAACCATTTGTGTACTTATTCTCTCAGTATTTGTCTTATTGATTAAACATAAAATGTGAGTTGGCAAGAGATATTTCTTTCTGATTTTGAAGTGTGAGAAGTAGTAGGGAGAGTTATTAACATAATATACAACGGATGGCAAATGTTCATGATGTTTGACTTCCCAGTCTACCATACAGCCCAGAGTGGTTCTAAGGATTTTTCTTCGTGTTCTCTGAGCTTGGTTGTTTTCTCATGAATGAACTAGATATGTCTAGTCCAGGAGTCTGCAACCTTGTCAACCTTAAGACTTGTGGACTTCAGCTCCCAGAATTCCTCAGCCAGCTAGCTGAAGTCCACAAGTCTTAAAGTTGTCACGGTTGCAGACCCCTGGTCTAGTCTAACAAAGAGAAGGACTAGGGGTAATATGATAGTACTCTTCCAGTATTTGAGGGGTTGTTACAGAAAAAAAGGGATCAATTTATTCTGTAAAGCACCTGAGGCAGGACAAGAAGTAACGTGTGGAAAATCATTATAAAGAGAAGCAACCTGGAACTAAGGAGAGATTTCCTGACAGTGAGAACAATTAATCACTGGAACGGCTTGCCTCCAGAAGTTGTGGGTGCTCCATCACAGGAGGTTTTTAAGAAGAGAGTGGACAACCATTTGACTGGGATGATATAGGATCTCCTGCTTGAAGGGGGCTGGACTAGAAGACCTCCAAGGTCCCTTCTAACTCTATTATTCTATGTTCTAAGAGGGAGGGAGGGAGGGAGGGAGAGAGAGAGAGAGAGAGAGAGAGAGAGAGAGAGAGAGAGAGAGAGAGAGAGAGAGAGGAGACCCATTAATAACAGTACTGTTTTTGTTTAGAATAGAATTCTCTATTGGACACACACGGAATTTGTCCCCGGTGCATAAGCTCTCAGTGTACATTCAAGTAATAGTGATAATCATGATCATATACAACCTGAAAATACATTCAACATAAGTCGTGAAATACAACACTTCATCATAAATCATAAGATGCAACACTTAGTGATAGAGTACTAGTTAAGCAAACAACATACTATCATAGTAGGATAGTAAAAAAACAATATAAATTGTAAGATACAAGCAGCAAAGTTATAGTCATAAGAAGATAAGGAGAGGTAATAGGAAAGATGAGGAGTATTGTACAGCTTTACTAAGTATTTTGACAGTGTTGTAGGAATTAGTAGTTAAGCAGAGTGTCCTTATGTCTAGTTGTTCTGGTGCTTGTTTCAACAGATGCCTCTACTAAGCTGCCAATACCTCCAAGGTCACCGAGAACTCTATTTGGCCCATATGGTCCTCAGTTTCATCACAATGGGCTACGTCTGGCAAGAAGGTGAAAAAGAGGTCCCCAAGGTATAGTCCAACCTTGAAACTTTTGCTCTTTCTTAAGCCTGAAGTACCTCCACAGCAGCATCTGCTGAAAACCCACAAACAATGATGCAAGCATGCAAAGGCCACAGTTAAATAATGCCAGCTGCCAAGTGCCCAAATTTTTATCATGTGATTGTGGGGATGCTGTGATGGTCGTAGGTGCAATGAGCGGTTGAAAGTCACTTTTTTGTTCTAACTTTGAATGGGTGCTAAATGAATGGTTTAAGTCAAGGACTACCTGCAGTCTTCTTCAGTGCTTTTAGTACAGGGGTCTTCAAACTTGGCCCTTTTATGACTTGTGGACTTCAACTCCCAGAATTCCTCAGCCAGGCATGCTGAGGAATTCTGGGAGTTGAAGTCCACAAGTCATAAAAGGGCCACGTTTGAAGACCCCTGTTTTAATATAACAATGATGGGGTAACATTGGTCAATATGGACTTACAAAGCTTTCTACTTCTTCTAACCATCTGGAACCCTACTGAAACCCAGCAGGACACAGATTACCAGTAGGCGAGCTGGTGTTGACGTGCTGGTCTTGTCTTCCAGATCTTGCCACGAAACCTGGCCATCCCTTTTGGAGAAGTCTCTGAAATGCTAGGTCTGCCTCCTATCCTGGTCCACACAGATTTTGTTTTGGTGAACTGGAAGAAAAAAAATCCCCACGGGTAAATCTATTGACAAGAGGACCTGTGCTTAATAGTTGGAGATCAGTCATAGCTGGAGCCATATAACTGTCAAGCTCAGGAAACCGGGAATCCAGGTGGTTCAAAGGAATATATAGGTTTATTGCATGTGAATGCTCTCTACAAGAACCTGAACTACTAACGGTCAAAGCAAATTGGCGGTAGATAAGAGTCAATGGAATTCAAGGTGGGCTGTAGATAAGAGTTAATGGAAACTATTGTGAGCATGAAGGGATTCAAGGCAGATGACATGCTTGACCCCTCCCTCGGGCTCAGCCTAGTCATCTCCCATGGACCGGGGGGTTGGGGACTGCTGTTATAGTCTAACCCCCTGCTCAAGCAGAAAACCCTATACCATTTTATATAATCTATATTCTATGAATAATATAATCTTAAGAATAATCATATAAGAATAATATATATTCAAAATATAATTGGATGTAATCTTACTTATATGAATATTTAATATATTAATAATTAATAAAATAATAAAAAAAATATAATCGTAAAGAAAATGAAACCAGCTAGGTTCCCTAATTGCAAAAAATACACTTAGGGAGAAATTTCAAAACCAGATTTTAAAGTAACTTGAATTGCCAACGGTTGCAGAAACGATGGAGGGAGTTATACGATCAACACGGCTCAGGATTGAGATGGGAAGGCTGTCTGGGGTAAGGGCTTTGTAGGGCTAGCAGATCTAGGCTGCACACATCTGGCTGATTTAGTCAAACGTTTGCAGCCTAGATCTGCTTGCTCTAACCTCTTGTATGTGAAATCCATACGCGGAGGCATGTTGTTGTTTAAAGCGCCGTTGTACCACGATGGACTTTACCCTTCAACTGATTTCATCTCTTGATTTTGCTTCCTTGTGTTGGCGGACGTCACCTCAATTTCTCCAAGGTGTCTGGAAATTGAGTAAGTCTTTGAGAATCCCTGTTTCTTTTTGCAGGACAAGATTGATTTAGTTATCACCTTGGAATCAATGTTCAGGCTGTTTGAAATCAAACAGCTGCTACTTTTAGGAAGACAGCTTATGTTTACATTGTTCCGAGCTCCTATTTTTGCCAGTTATGCTCCCACGGAATAGAAAATTGAGATCTCTAGGAGAATCATCTCTCTCCATCAAACAGCTGCTTGGTGGTAGGTGCAGCTTTCCTCTCAAGCGCAAATGGCAAACTAACCAGAAATGGTTTGTTTAGCAAGCAATTGCTTGCCCCCTTTACAGGTCATTACTGGAAACCCAAGGTGTATTTGATGATTTATTTCACGCCACTTCCTTTTTCCTTGGCTTATGATTCTTTATTGGAATTCTAATCTAATGTAAAATTGAGGTACGCCTTCAGTGGTTCTGGTTTATTTCAGCGCCAGTTCTCACTGTTAGGCTACCCTTTTAAGTTACTTATAAAGAAACAGGGTCCTTGGTGGAAAGAAGTCAAGGTGTTCACGCATAAGTGCCTTGTGAGAGGGAGCAATTACCAAATGGCAACATGCAATATTGTTTTTGTTGGAATTCATTGTTGGAATGTATTTTTATGCAACAACTACAATAATAGGGCCGGATGTGTCACTCCAAAACTGTGCCCACCCCATTGCCAGCAATGGGGAAAAAGTCGCGATACGTCATGCCACGTCACGTGACGTCGTGAGTTTGACATGCCTGGTATATACGCTATGCTCTTTTGTTCTAAGTAGAGTTTCTTGTTTCCTGTTACAATTAAAATACTGTACGTATGAACCAGTAGAGATTTTAGTTTGGAAAGTGAACAATAAAAGTCACAAACCTACATTTGTTTCTACATTCCTGTGCCAAACCGCTAGTGCAGATTTTTGAAGCATTGTCAAAACTTGCCAAACTGTGAACAAAAGCGATAAAAGAGCGATTGTACACAGCTTATAGATCAATGGTTTTGTACACCTTGGGCTTTTTAGGAGAAGCAACCCCTTCCTTGCAAGCACTGATAAATACTTATACTTCCTTTCCCAGACTGTTGATTTTGTTGTGTTCACAGGAATCTGGAGCCCATAGTTAGCTTGCCTGGAGGGACAAGCACAGTTGGGTTCATTCTCGTCAGTTTCCTGACTGAGAAAGCTGCCGCACCAGGACTCAAGGTATAGTCTTCCCTTAAATTAATTATCAATGTTTACTTTGGATGCTTTTGTGAGGGATCAAGGTGAGCATTCCCCAGCATTTTGGCTACTCTGAAAACATGTTGAGTTCACCTAACAAGCTAGACTATGCTAAAACAAGCAGGTGGTCTGTAATTTAGCAGATGGTGGGAATCCAACCATTCCCTCAGTGTCAACCTAGTCATCACATTAAGTTCTAATGTAATACCTTGACAAGGTGAGGAGCAGTGGTGGGATTCAAATATGTGAACAACCGGTTCTTGGGCCTATGAGTTAGAAAGATGGGGATAAGCAGCCAATAGATTCCTGCAAAGTGATTCAGAGTCGTTGGGAAGAAAGTGGCATATAAATTTAAACACTTTTTCATTTCATGCAGGCAATTGCCAAGGCTGTGAATGGACTTCTTCATCCAGATGACAAAATCCTGGCTGAAGCGTTACAAGAAGTGACAAACACACTTCAAGAAATGACCCAAACTCTGAAGAAAATACATGGTAAGCTTGTGATCCACGTACACTTAAGGCATGGACATCGAACGAAGAGTTGGAAGGGTCCTTAGAGGTCTTCTAGTTCAACCCCTGCTTGAGCAGGAGACCTTACCCTTCCAACTCTTCTTCATGAGCTGGCAACAAAAAAAAATCATATTTAGAAACATCAACTTTAAGAAAATATTAATGGTTTATTCTTTACAGCTCCTCTGAGATTGATTAGGTCTTCTCGTTCGTTCTTTGCAGTTGATTGGATGCTTTCAAAATGATTCTTTAAAAATAGATAAGAGGTACAAAAAATTTTTAGCGTTAAATTCAAGGTAATGTTATAAAGAAGTTGATACAAAACAGGTAGATATTCCAAGTCAGTCGGGGTCCAGCACACACTGGTCCACAACCTTCTGCAAACTAGGATTCTCCATTGCTCCTGCGACTCTCTCTTTATCATGGATTTGTTTGTTCATGTCTTCAATAGAACGTGCCCCCTCTGATATGTACTTATATAGCAAAAGCACATAGACTTATATACTGCTTCGCAGTACTTTACAGCCCTCTCTACATGGTCTACAGAGTCAGCATATTGCCTCCAACAATCATCATTTTATTGACCTTGGGAGGATGGAAGGCTGAGCCAGTCACCACATTACAAAAAAGATGTTGTGACATTGGGAAAAGTGCAAAGAAGAACATCTAAGATGATTAAAGGCCTGGAGACTAAAACATGAGAAACGGTTGCGGGATTGGGTTTGGCTAATCTAGAGAAAAGAAGGACTAGGGGAGACATGATAGCAGTGTTCTAATATTTGAGGGGCTACCACAAAGGAGAGGGGTTCAACCGATTCTCCAAGGCACCAGAAGGCAAGACAAGAAACAATGGATGGAAACTAATCAAGGTGAGAAGCAACCTGGAATTAAGGAGAAACTTCCTAACAGTGAGGACAATTAACCAGTGGAAGAGCTTGCCTCCAGATGTTGTGGGTGCTTCATCACTGGAAGTTTTTAAGAAGAGACTGCACACTCGCTTGTCTGAAATGGTAGGATCTCCTGCTTGAGCAGGGGGCTGGACTAGAAGACCTCCAAAGTCCCTACCAGCTCTATTTTGATTGAGGATCGAACTCCTGGCAGTCAGCAGAAGTAGCCTGCAATACTGCATTCTAACCACTGCACCACCACGGCTCACGTATGCAAGATCCCTGGGTTTGACTTTAAAAAAAAAAAAAAAAAGATGCAGTCAAAGTTGTCTTAATTTCAAACTGCAATAAAAGACCTAAGAGGGGAAAAAAAATAGCCCACGGATTCCAATGGCAGCTGAACCACACAGGGATAATTTTAGTAATAAAACCATTTTGCTGAATCTGCCCTCAAGGGTTGCTCAAGGGAGAACATTGAAAAGAACTCTAGACAAAAAGCATCAGTAGCTGTGATAGGAAAGAGAGTAAATCTTTAATGCTGCCATGAGCCTTTGAATTCCCCTCCGTGCTTGACGGATCTCAGCAGCTTCCGCAACAGAGTATTGTTGCTCAATATTCTTGATTCATTGCTTGGCTATTTTCTTGGCCTTTTGCAGCCTTGGTATTAACGGAGCCTTTGATGTTGTAAGGTTGACCCACCATTTAGTTCTCTAATGATCTCTTGCGATTAGTGAAAGCAACCCCATTGGGGCTAGATTGAGGCTTAGCCAAACGAATAGAATTGATTTCCAAATGTTGGCCTCTGTCCTAGCCAGTCCTGCCTCCAATCTCAGTGCTGCATTTGGTTCACATCTCAAGGTCAATAAAAAAGAAAAGAAAGAGAGAGAGAGAGAGAGAGAGATCTTAAAAAGCCAGGCTGCTTAATTTCTCACAGGGAGCAGAACCAGGAAACAAGCCATACTTACACCCTGCATAGAAAACGAACAACAGATTTTGCAGTGAATAATATAATATAATAATTGGTTTGGTTAGGACAAATATCCTCTCTGTCTTCGGTAGAAAACAAATAGCAGCCATGTTTGATGGTCCATAGAGCAGGCATACAGAATTCCAAAAGAACAGAGCTGGAAGGGACCTTGGAGGTCTTCTAGTCCAGGGCTTTTCAACCAGTGGTACGGGTACCACCTGTGGTATATTGGCACCTGGCAGGTGGTACGCGACCATCCTAGAAAAGTGGTAGCGAGGGAGGGGAATGAGCTGAACCGGTGGCAGCACCGCACAAGCCTGAGCGAGAGACGGCTGGAGCTGCAGGGCTGTCAGGGCTCAGCGGAAGCGCCAGGATCAGCACCAGGCTCCAGCTGGATCTCGGCGCTGATCCTGGTTCTTCTGCTGAGCCCAGAAGAAGTGCCAATCAGCTGGAATGTTGCAGCATCTCCAGGTCTTGTGATTTATATTCAGATGCTTGGCAACTGATTCATATTTATGACGGTTACAGTGTCCCAGGATCATGTGAAGTGACCAAAACCTGCTGTAACCACCCAGCAGACGGGGGGAATAAAAACCAAACACCCCCCACCCCATCCCCGCTGCCAATCCTCAAAAGAAATGCTCACAACAATGAAAACCTCGGACAGGAGGAAGAGCGCCATCGGGTGGGCAGGCAGGTGTCTTGCTCGGCTGTGCCTTGGGGGGGCACTTTTTTCAGTGCCATTGTAACTTCGAACAGTCACTAAGCAAACTGTTGTAAGTCGAGGACTACCTGTACTTTATCACTTTTTTCCTTTTTTTTTTTTTTTTNTTTAGTTTCCCAAGGCCACATTAGCTAATTGTGTTGCCTTCACTTAATCAGGGTCCCTCATTAAACCTTCATTAAAATCCGGATGTGTTGAAGCAGAGAGGGGAAGAAATGATATAAGGAAATGAAACTTGACTATAAAGCAAAAATCTCCCTGTGGGCATTGCAGAATCCCTAAATGGCTACAAAGGCAACTTGTTGCCAGATCGCCAGTGTAAAAGTGGGTTATGAGACAACCTTTGTGACTGACTCAAGATGAGGCTGAAACAGGAGTGATCTTTCTGGTTTAACACTGAACGAATGAGAGAAAACCTCTTAGATCTATGTTAGGCAAAAATAATGGATTATTAGCCTGTCATTGGTGCTTCAGCCCGGGTGAGTTCAGTTGTCAGATTCTCTTTGTCTAAAAACCATAATAAAATTGCGGAGGTGTCTGCAAGGTGTGGTAAAATATGTCAAGGTGGATACCATAATGATATGACCAGAGCTTTGATCGTACTATTATCACCAACTTGACTTTTTGAACATTTTCTACGGGCACATTTGAAAAATTGTGTTACCTGCATTCAACAGCACTTTTTGATCAGTTGTTGTATTCTTAGGACAGTGGCGCCCAACCTTTTCTACACCCCAAACCCCTAGAACGTTTCTGATATATTCTTGCAACCCTTGTTGTTGTTAGTTGCGAAGTTGTGTCCGACCCATCGCAACCCCATGGACAATGTTCCTCCAGGTCTTCCTGTCCTCTACCATCTTCTGGAGTTCATTTAAGCTCACACCTACTGCTTCAGCCATCTCATTCTCTGTCGTCCCCTTCTTCTATTGCCCTCCATCTTTCCCAGCATTAGGCTCTTCTCCAGTGAGCCCCCTTACAAAAGTTCAAAATAACAGCAACAAATTATGCATATATGCTATAATTTTGAAAACCCAAGTTTTCGCACCCCTTGGAATATCCTCTCGCACCCCCGGTTGGGAGCCCCTGCCTTAGGAGAATAGTGGCCCATTTGGGGGAGGGAGGATTTGTGTATATGTGTGTGTGTTTGTGTGTGTGTGTGTGTGTGTGTGTGTGTGTAAAAAATGAAACAGGTGTATTAAAGTTTATAGAGGATTAAAGTATCCACGTTGCTTTTCACCCCAAACAGAAATAGCCCAAATGTGAAGACGTTGTAAAATGAAAGGGATAAAATGCATGCCTCAAGTGTCACCAAACGCTGCAAAGCACTATCAACCACCTAGATCAGGGGTGGACAACCCTGGCTCTTTTATGACTCGTGGACTTCAACTCCCAGAGTTCCTGAGCCAGCATGAGGGAAACTTTGGCCCTTCATGACTCCTGGACTTCAACTCCCAGAATTCCTGAGTCAGCATGGCTCAGCTTGGAAACCTCTCCCTTTCCCCTCAGCATGGCTGGCTCAGGAATTCTGGGAGTTGAAGTCCACGTGTCATGAAAGAGCCAAGGTTGCCTACCCCCGACCTAGACCAACAAAGTAGGGGGAAAAGGTTGACTTTGTCTTCTCCATTTCTGTTCTAGGTGCTCAGAGATTGGGTGGCCACAAAGGCCCACCAGCCTTGAGCTGTCAATCTCTGCCTTAGATTTAAATAGCAAAGAAATTCACCTCAGAAATAAAAGGAATGACTTCGGCTCATCTATTAACTTTATTAGGATTGCTGGTGGCTTTGGGGAGACGAAGAACACAGGGCCCCAGGGGGTCTTCTTCTCACTCTGATGAGAAAAAAGGTCTAAATGGAGGCTGTGCATTCACAGTACATGGCAGGAGTCCTCCATAGTCACCTGTTGCTGGGCAAAGAGGCTGCCGCATACCAAACACAACCTCGCCACCTCTTAAAAACTCCCTGTTGCTTGGAGAAATGCCTCCGTACAACTTGGGCCTTCTGAGCAGCTGCTAGGAAGCAGGATTCTCGGCTTATGTTTTTGCTCTGTGTGAGCATTTTAATAAAAGAGCAGCCTAAAAATAAATCCGATTGCTCCCTGGTGCTTCTGTAACGTTTGGCAGGGAGGGCAGGTGGCACAGGTCAGCTAATGAGCTGCACACACAGCTTGAGTCTCTCTGTGAATGCCAGCCTCCCTCGGTTGATCTGTGGCTCTTGCAATGCATCACTTGGCAGAGGAATTGGAGGCTGTGAAGCTGCCACCAACCCTCCTCCTCCTCTTCCTCCTCCTCCTCCTCCTCCCAGATCCAAAAGGCTCAGAACAGTGGGGGAGGAAAGATACTTGCAGTTGCAAATAAACTGTGGCCACAAACCATCCTTAACTAGATCAGGTTAAAAGAGGGGTCTTCAAACATGGCCCTTTTATGACTTGTGGACTTCAACTCCCAGAATTCCTGAGTCTCTCCCTCTCCCTCNCCCCCCCCCTCTCTCTCTCACACACACTGTTGGGTTCTTGGTGTTCTCTGAACTTGGTTGTTTTCCCGGAGATATTTCACTATCAGATTAGGTGCTATCATTCATGCATAGACCAGTGGACTTTGCTGGCTGTTGATAAACCATAGCTTGCCTTACCAGTCTTCAGTTTCCTCCTTGACAGTTCCTTGATTAGGCTATTGTTTCGCCAATATTGATTAGCCGGTGCCGTTTCTGCTTACTTGAGCATTTGCTGCTACAGAAGGTTGTCCACTGGTCCTCTTTTGTGACGTCCTTTTCTCTTTTTCAGTTGGAAAGATAACCCCGTGTTACCGGAAGGGCTGCTGTATGAAGGCCTTTGTGAACAGCCTCTGGCGTATTCTGGGGGCAGTGCGGCCCAAAGCTCCACCCTGCACGCCTTCGATGAGCTGCTTAGTATCCAACACCAGAAAGAAAGTGGTAAGAGCTGACCTTCGCTTGCATTTAGATCCGCCATTGTAGGATAAAACACCGATGGGTTTTCCAAATCTTCCATCAAACATGTGGATGGAGGAACCAGCGGTATGATTTCTCAAGGTTTCTCTGGGAGAAGAAAGAAGGATGCCCCCGCCTTTGGAGTCACAGTAAAGTTTCTATCGAAAAAGCCCCTTGGGGAATGTTTTCCTCCCGATACTTTCCATCGTGATGGAATGGAAACGTGGGAAGCCAGAAAGATTGGGAACTGCAGGAGAGGCCATCAAAGTCAGAGCACTCATATCGATTCCTTGGCCACCTAGTTAACAAAATGAACATAGATATGCATTTCATCCATGAGAATCTGAAGGGACAGTGGTATCTCGTTACTCAACGCTCATTTGTTCTGGAAGGCACAACAGATACTAAAAACTACGAGTGCCAAACAAACCAGGGGACTTACCACGTGACCCTTCGTTCTGGCCAGGAAAAATGTTCTGTCTGTCCTTTTTCCTGTGTCAGTGACCTTTCCAGCATGGCCAACTTCTTGTCCGCCCTCTGCGGTTGTCCTCCCTTTTCCTTTTGCAGGACACTGAATCCCAAAGAAACTACGCGTACTCATGCATAAAATGCGTCGGGTATCAAATTCAAAGAGTTTTGAAGCAGTTGAATACCGAGGTACCACTGTATGTTTGAAGCAAGGTTTTTCCTCTTCAAAATGAACGAGGACCGTGAGGAGATAAATGCAGATGTTTTCTCCGTGCTTCTGAATGAAATTCTTGTAAAACTCCTCAAAAGTTGAAAATTAGAGGTCTGGGAGAAGAGTTCTCATCTAGCTCTTCCTTGGCCAAGTTAGTTTTGGTGCTCAGGATGACTGTTGACAAAGATCAAAGAGGATATGCAAAATTAAAATTAAACAAAGACACAGGGAACGAGTTTGAACAATAATCCCATCATGTACAGCAGGGGTAGTCAACCTTGGCTCTTTTATGACTCGTGGACTTCAATTCCCAGAATTCCTGAGCCAGCTTAGCTTAGCTGGCTCAGGAATTCTGGGAGTTGAAGTCCACGAGTCATAAAAGAGCCAAGGTTGACTACCCCTGATGTACAGTATTGGCTTCTCTATAGTGGCTTAGCTGCTGATAAGGTAGGACAGCTTTCCTTAGCCATATGCCTATTTCTGTAACTCTCAGCCAGTTGCAGTTTCAGGTGCGAAGAATCAACACCATATAGTTAGTGTTCAACACCATAATGTTAATGTTAAGGTGTTAAGAAGATTTATTGCTCAAACCTATGCACAATGTCAACTAATGTTTAGTGCTAAATTGACAATAGATAAGATAAGAGTTAACAGAATTCAAGAGGAGTTGGACTTAGACCGTTTATGGGAACATAATGACTCTAGGCTGATGACTTGCTTAACTCTGCCCCTGGCTCTTCCTGCTCTTGTCCTACATCAGCCTTGTGAGCTAAAAATTATCAGGGATTTCAAAATATCTAAAGGGCTATTTGTTGAGCAGGCTGACTCAATCATTTTAAATTGCCTTGAACCCCACTTATCCATTGCTTTGGTATCTTTCACCAGCTGCATTTTTGCACAGGATGAGAAAATACATGCCTCCTCATCATCAAGCCTTCATTGAAGAAATCCAATCTGTCCCTCCACTGAAGGATCATGTCTTATCTTCTGGAAACAAAGACCTTCAGTCCCTATATAACAAATGTGTGGCTGCTCTTTCCGAGCTAAGGACCTACCATATCACCATGGTCACCAAGTACATTGTCATCGCAGCTAAAAAAGCCAAGGACAAACTGAACAAAATTCCTCAAACCACAAGTCCTCCATCTTTCCTGGAAGGGGTAGGGACTGGGGGCTCACGGGTTCTGAAATTCTTAAAAAGTGTCCGGGACACAACAAGAGAAGCTATGGTACAACTCTAAAAGACTGTCCTTTCTGGTCAAGTAAAGTTAGGGTTATGGAGCCAGCCAGTCAACATCTCTTGATATGTATATAATAGGAGTGAGCGACTCTTCACCCAGACTGTCTAAAGGTTGAATCATGACAACTAGACCAATCTTTGTTAATTTGAGATATTTTGTTGTTCATTCAAGCAACTTCACCAGTCAGAGCAAACTCAAGTAGAGTTAGAGACTCGTTGAAATGTATCAACTCTTGTTACACCAACTTCAGGGGTTTCTCCCCAAAATGCAGCGAAATCATCTAGGCCAAAGGGGTTTAAAGGTTGAATCATGGCAACTGGACCAAATTTTGTTAATCTGAGACATTAAATTAACAGTTAATTTTTGCTCTGACTGATGAAGTTGCTTGGATGAGTGATGAAAGTCTCAGATGAACAAAGTCTGGTCCAGTGGCCATGATTCAATCTTTAGATTCCTTTGGCCTGGATGATTTGAGTCTTCATTGATGCATCTTCAGCCAGAAGGCACCAATTGTTAAAAATAGTTTCTATGAAAATAAATGCATTCAAATAAAAAACAATCTGGAAAAAAAAAGGAAGGAAATGAAGAGACAGAGAAAAAAAGAAAACATAAAAATCAAATAACATAAAGCATGAAAAATGCATATAATGTTCTTCCTCTTGACAGTTATAGATACAATTCCAATGAAACCAGTCTCTCTAAGAGTGCACAATTTTTCCTCAATTCTATAACCTAGTCTTTTTAATAATCAAAAACAGTAAGACACAAAATCATTTTCTTTTTTATGCAAAAAAAAATCCATAAGCAGTTTCCAGTCATTGGAGCATCAGTAATGTCTTTTCTCTAATTAATGAAGTTGGTTTAGCCATCTCAACAAATTCTATGAATTTCATCAACCATTCCTTCATTGTAGGTCATGCCGAATCTTTCTGTGTATAGTAATCTTGCTGCAATACTCATATATTGAAATACTCTTCCTTCACTCTTTTCTAATTGTTTATCCATCAAAACTTCTGTTTTGATTGAATATTAATCTTTAAAATCCTCTGTATTAATGTGTGTATTTGAAGCCAATTTTAAAGCTTTTTTTAAACTTGTCCACCAGGCATCATAAAATATCTCTTCATGTTGTTTACATTTGCACTATACATTTGGAATGCCTTTATACATTCTATAGATTATTTCTCTGGTGTTGTATGCCAACGATACCTTATTTTAGGAAACATTCGATTTAAGATCATAGCATAATGTAAATTCCAACCCTATTGACCACATATTTTTCCATTGATCCATCGATACATTATAATCAAAATTCTTAGCCAACTTTATCATACACTCTTTAACCTGTTCTTCCATTTCAAATTTCAATGGAAGTGTATACGTTTTTGCAACTATATATACATTATTGCCACCCAATTGCAATTTACTTTGGTCCATATCTTAAATCCTATTGTCCCTTTTGAATCTTTTTGATAACTATAAATGGAAAACCATTGACACTGATGCCCTTCTGCCATTTAGATTGAATTTTATATTTTAAAATTGCATTTGGCTTCAGGCAGGAAACCCTATACCATTTCGGACAAATGGCTGTCCAGTCTCTTCTTAAAAACTTCCGTTGTTGGATCATTCACAACTTCTGGAGGCAGGTTGTTCCGCTGATTAATTGTTCTCACTGTCAGGAAATTTCTTCTTAGTTCTAGGTTGCTTCTCTCCTTGGTTAGTTTCCATCCGTTGCTTCTTGTCCTGGAGAAGAGCTTGACTCCCTCTTCTTTGTGGCAGCCCCTGAGATATCTGCTATCATGTCACCCATAGTCCTTCTCTTCATTAGACTAGACATACCCAATTCCAGCAACTGTATCATGTGTTCCCAGGATGCTGCAATCATTGTAGATACACCATGGTTGACAAACACCTGAATTTTGAACACATGACTGCGGAGATGTGAAAATGGACGTAAGTGTCAGGGCAGGTTGTAAAACATCTTTTCTTCAGTGCGGTTGTAAGTTTGGTTCCTAAATGAATTGTCGTAAGTTGAGGACTGCCTGTATGTTGGTAACTTGCAAGGCCTTATGTGTAGGCTCATGTTTCTCTTTGCTCTTATGTTCCTCTTTGAGACATAGTACCTTTCTACGAGAAATGCTTAGTATATTGAATTTGACAGCATGTACCGAATTCCTACCTGTATTTTCTCCAAGCCATTCTGAGGCTGCCTCCTTTCTTCTTTGCTTTTTCTTTTCTGATGTTTCCACAGACAGCTTCAGAAGTTCCCATATTGGTGAGGCAGCCATTTATCCTGTGCAATATCAGAAAATAATTTGCTTTCTTTCCAACCAGTTATTCTTCAGGCATCTTTAGACAGACTCTGCAGCTGCATGCGATGCTGCAGTGGCTAAATGTAAAATTAATGTTCTGAGACCCGGAGATTAAATTCTGTGCCGAGAATTTCCCAGGCAGATAATATGCAAACCTGCTTGTAATGAGCAAGCCACAATATTGTTTATTTGCAGAAACCTGATCTGTGGCAAAACGGAAATGAAAATTGTTCAGAAGAAGATGAAACGGGAAGTAAAAAAATCAGCATCAGCCCCAAACCCAGTGTTGGGATTCATCCAGTTTGCACCACTTCGGCAGAACTGGTAGCTATTTTTTTTGTTGCCCAAGCCCACAACGGACTTCCGGAAACGGCATCCACACAGAGAACCGGTTGTTCACGTGTTTGAATCCCACCACTGCCCAAACCGATCACTTTTCATTGATGAAACTTCACATCACATATTGGCTGGTTCTTTGGCTGGTTTCACATGCAAGTTCTATAGTCCCATATCCATTTTCACTATTTAGTTTGGAAAAAAGAGACCTCATTCAGTAAGTCCCTAAAACAATGTTTGTCAGCCTTGACAGCTTAAAGATGGGTGGACTTCAACTCCCAGAATTCCCCAGTCGGGTAAGTTTGACTGAGCAAGAGTTCAACTGGTTGCCATCTTGATTTTTTCACCTCCCTGTGCCCTTACACTGCATGTAATAAATTATCCCCTTAAATAACTTGTACATTGCTCCAAAACCTCCATAGTAGAACGTATTGCTGCTGTTCTACACAATTTATCTCAATATCTTATCCAAAGAACCCCTGAAATTGTCTTGAGGTTGCTAAATCTTTGACTTCAGTATAACACTATTTTAATGGAGGTCTTTCCTTTTTTATTTCTTAGTTTAAAGAAATCAGGCCCTTAATATAACAAGGACGATTCGGGGGCAGGAGGCTAAAACACACAAAGAACAGCTGCTGTAATTGGGTTTGTCTACTTTAATGAAAAGAAGGACTGAGGGAGACATGATAGCAGTGTTCCAACATTTGAGGGGCTCATACAAAGACGAAGGGGTCAAACTATTTCCCAAATAACACCAAAAGGCAAGACAAGAAACAATGGATGGAAACTAACCAAGGAGAGAAGCAACCTAGAAATAAGGAGATATTTCCAGACAGTGAGAACAATCAACCAGTGTTGCCTTCAGAAGTTGTGGATGCTCCATCACTGGAAACTTTTAAGAAGAGAATGGACAGCCACCTGTCTGGAATGGTACAGGGTCTCCTGCTTGAGCAGGCAGTTGGACTAGAAGATTTTTAAGGTCCCTTCCAACTCTGATATTCTATGTTCTATGTTCTAATACAGTATTATACACAATCCTACTTTTTCTTCACTACTTCATTTTTCAGAAACATTGCTCAATACATTTTAGGTCTGGGGAGAATTGCCTGTTGCTAAATATTATTGATGGTAAAAAACTTATCTTAGAATAATTCTCTTAGAATAATTCTCTTTCCTACTCCTCTAAGAAGAAAAACAATCATGAGTGTTGTAAGTTTTAAACAGTTCTAAGGAACGGTAAAACAATGAGTCAGCTAGTTAATCTAAGTTTCAATTAAAAGACACAGAGGCTGTATATCTGATTACATTATTCTAAAGCTATGACTTCATTATACCTGATGTTCTTTCTCAAAATAGGTCCTTAGCGTGTGAAAAATGTAAACCGATCTCCTGCATTCTCCAATATGTGTTGCAATTTTCTGAATTTAGAATCTTTTTGCATTTGTTTGCCTCAATTATCTTCTCTGATGGATCTGAATTGATGCCACGTTCGTGCTGCTTAAATAATTTCTGATTTGGAATGATTAAAATATATTTAGTCTTTTCCCCCCCTCTGCAGCTGGTTAAAATAGATGCGGTTGCCTTCTATTCAGTCCACAATTTAATCATTCTATATTGTTGCCGTGTTATAAATTATCCACCATAACTTTTGCACTTCACTGTGGATCACAGCAACTGAACCCCTTTGCGGGTTTAAGCAACATAAATAAACTCTCAATTTACCCCAAGCTATTCATATATCTGGAATGATATAAATAATCCAGCAGTCCTGAGCTCCTAGAAGTTCACAATTCAGCTGATTTTCAGTCTGCTATGTGAAATGTATATCAACTTGCAAATTTGGAAGCAGGAACCCAAGCTCATCTGTGCATTTGTTGGTAGGTGACTATAAAGTCACAAGATGCTATTGAAGAAAAGTATAACTCATTCCCCACTTTCTACTAGCTCTATTTTACTTTTCCATTGACTTTGCTTGTCAGAAGCTCACAAAAGGGGATCACATGACCCCATGACCATTATAAATATGGAGCAGTGGCCAAGCGTCTGAATTTTGATCACATGACCATGGGAATGTTTTTTATCAGTGTGAAAAAAACAGTAATAGGTCACTTGGAACAGTCACTACACAAATTCTTGGAGGTTGACATCTTGTTGGATAGGGCCCAATGCTCAAGTCTGTCAAGGTCCTTCAAACTGGTCAGTCCTAGAGGAGATCAGCCCCCACTGCTCTTTAGAAGGCCAGATCCTGAAGTTGAAACTCAAGTACTTTGGCCACCGAATGAGAAGGAAGGACTCACTGGAGAAGAGCCTAATGCTGGGAAAGATTGAGGGCAACAGAAGAAGGGGACG